AGACAATGGCAAGAAGCACATAAGGTATTCAACATTGTCAGTCATCAGGGAAGTGCAAATTAATGAAATATAACATCTCACATCCACTAGAACAGCTAAAATTTAAAAGATTGACAACTCTAAATGTGGGTGAGGTTGTAGAACAAGTGGAAATCTCATATATTTCTGGTGGCAGTTTCTTATAAAGTTAAAAATAAACCTCCCTATAACCCAGCAATTCCATTCCTAGGTATTTGCCAAGGGAAGTAAAAACACATATCCACGCACAAAAAAGACTTAGAGAAGAAAGTTTTTAGCAGTTTTATTCATAATAGCCCCAAACCGAAATAATCTAAATGCTCATCAACAGATGGATGGATAAACAAGTTATGATCGAGGGGCGCCTGGGTGGCTCAGTTGGTTAAGCATCTGCCTTCAGCTCAGGTCATGATCCTGGGGCCCTGGGATCGAGCTCAGCAGGGAGCCTGCTTCTCCCTCTCCCTCTGCTCCACCCCCACCCCTGCTTGCGCTCTCTATCTCTTGCTCTCTCAAATAAATAAATAAAATCCTTAAAAACAAAAAATAAGTTATGATTGATTCATACAATGGAATACTGTTCTGCAACAAAAAAGCATGAACTGATAAATACAACCACACAGGAAAAAAAAAAAAAGTAAGCCTTCAAAGACTTGATTTAAGTGAAAGAAGGCAGACACAAAAGAGTATATACTGGGGGCACATGGGTGGCTCAGTTAAGCATCTGCCTTCAGCCCAGGTCATGATTCCGGGGTCCTGGGATGGAGCCCCGCATCAGGCTCCCTGCTCAGAGGGAAACCTGCTTCTCCCTCTCCCACTCCCCCGCTTGTGTTGTGGTGTGTGTGTCTGTCTGTCTGTCTCACTCTGTCAAAAAAAAATAAAATCTTAAAAAAAAAGTATATGCTGTATAATTCCATTTAAATGCAGCTTAAGAAGAGTAAAATTGGTCGACAGTCCCAGAAATCAGAACAGTGTTTGCCTACAGGGGGTAAGGACTGACTACCAGGGAACTTCTGGTGGGGGCGGTGATGGAAATGTTCTATGTCTTAATTGGGATAATGGTTGTACAGGTACATACATTTATCAAAAGTCACTGAAGTGTACACTTAAGACCTGTGTATTTTACAGTACGTAAATTTTACTCACAAAATGTTTTTAGAAGTTTATCATTCAGATATGCTTTAGCTACACTGAAGTCCTGCACATTTTATCACTATTCTACAGATATGATAATGAATTATCATCAAAGATTAAATATTAACTGGTTAATAGGGAAGGGAAGGTCACCATGAATTTAAGACAATGTCTGAAGTTAAAAGTCTTATTTCCAATTATAAAGTTCATTTCCCATATATTAACCTAATTATAAATAGTTCTAAAGCAGAAAATATATAGCTATTTGCATACAATGATTTCTGAAATGTCATGATCTCCTCCCTTCTGGGGCTTAAACTGGAGGGTCAGGGATGGAGTGAGACAGAGAAACATCGAAGTAATACAAATAATTACTATGGAGGAAACGTGCAGGATCCTAACAGGGAATAAAGGGGAGACCTGTTTTAGAAAGGGTGATTGGGGGGCGCCTGGGTGGCTCAGATGGTTAAGCGTCTGCCTTCGGTTCGGGTCGTGATCCCGGGGTCCTGGAATCGAGCCCCACATCGGGCTCCTGGCTCCGCGGGGAGCCTGTTCTCCCTCTGCCTCTCCCCCTGCTCATGCTCTCTCTCTCTATCTCTGTATCTCGAATGAATAAATAAAAATCTTAAAAAAAAAAAAAGATGATTGGGGAAAGCCTCTATGAAGAGGTAACACTTGCTAAAATCTTAAAACATACTAAAATTTAAAAGCTGAGTAAAGTTAATTAGATTAAGAAGCAACAAAAGAGATCGAGGAGGGCAAGGGAAAATTATATACAAAGCCCCTAGGTCCCTTTGGTACCAGCAAGGAAGAATTACCTGGTACCAAAGAGATTCAGGACACAGTTAAGTTAGTGAAGCAGGTTGGCTGGGAGTAAGTTTGGAGAGCGACAGGTAAGGCTGGATCACAGATTAACCCTGACCTCGCGAGGAATCTGGGTTTCACAGCCCTAACAGGAAACCAGACGAAGAGCTTTAAGGTGAAAAGGAGCCAAGGCCACCAGGAGCCCAGTCGCTATGGTAAACATTTAGGAGAGGAAAGGGAGGGAGAAGGCTAGTCTATTAAGAACGAACCCTCTCGGGCGCCTGGGTGGCTCAGTTGGTTAAGCGACTGCCTTCGGCTCAGGTCATGATCCTGGAGTCCCGGGATCGAGTCCTGCATCGGGCTCCCTGCTCGGCGAGGAGCCTGCTTCTCCCTCTGACCCTCTCCCCTCTCATGTACTCTCTCTCTCTCATTCTCACTCTCTCAAATAAATAAAAAAATCTTTAAAAAAAAAAGAACGAACCCTCTCAACTGGGAAGAATGCCTTTCACAGGAGCTTTATTGTTGACAGTCACCAAAAGATAAGCATATTTTATCATGACACAGTGTTGATGTAACATAAACTGACAATACTCCGAACACTGGCTCCCTGGCTTAAAGCGGAAACAAGTACACAATACTTAATATAACAAGCCTTTGGAAACTCAATGAAGGCAAAGACTACTCGGAGAAAACCTAAATGTTCAATTAGAGAATAAACAGTTCAGTAAAATAGTTTACTTAATGCAAACGTTAAAAAAACTATTTCTGAAAAACATTTAATGGCACAAGTGAACGGTAATGGTTAATACTAAGTGAAAAAAGTAAGGTTATTAAAACTATGTATAGCATTATTTCCTTTTTCAAAAAAAGAACTACCAATCTACATATAAAAACACATACATAAGTAGAAATACCAGAAGAACAAACACCAACACTTTTATAATATTATTATATATATGGGTGATAGGATTGCATGTTTGTTTTGTTTTTTGTCTATCTTCAAAGTTTGCAGCTCTTAGCATGAATTACTTTTTAAATACAAAAATTTCAAAAGTTTCAAAAGTTATCATAATTAACACAATGAAGTGCTGATTCTTCTTGCCTGTTGAGAAACCTCTTTGTATAATGTAATATGTCTGTAACTGCTTTTAATAAAATTAGGACTTTTTGGAGGTCAAGGAAATTATTGGTAGGTTCTCCCACAAAACTGACCCTGGTACCAAGTGAAAAACAAAACAAAACAAAACAAAATTAGTGAACTGAACTAATGGATTACTGGTCCAACCCACAAGTCTTATAATATATTAGATAGCAATTATTCCCATTACTAAGAGAGGCAACTCTTTATAAAAGGAAATAGGAATCCTTTTCAGAGGGCATTTTAAATGATTCAACTGCCAAAATTTCATTTCCAAAAACTCAGTTTAGGAAACCCAAGGACACTTGCAAAAGCAAGAGGAAAAACAACTACACACTTCAACATACAAACGCAGTCTGAGAAATTTCTGTATGCATCAAAGTCCCAAATAACATCTAATTCAGAAATGTTCCCATTAATCAAATTTCTGCACTACCATCTGTCTGTTCTGCCATCTTTCCACTTTGTTAAATGCTACTAGTGTTAGGCACTGAGTATATAAAAACGATTAAGGCAATCAATGTAGAGAACAGTCTAGTTAGGAACACTGTCAGAACATTGTAATTGCATTGCAATATGGGCCATAACACACACACATTATGAGCTGTAGTGTGAAAGTGCTACAACATAAATATGAAATAAAGTGTCAAAGGATAGTACTTGCCAGGAAGAGCTGAGGGAAGTTTGACAGAGGAAGAGCAAACTTAGCTGGGTTTTGAAGCATGAATAAGAGTTTGACAGATGAAAAAGAAGGAAGAAAATTCTGGGCTTGTAAGTAGGGAAGTGACGAGATCATCTCTGTAATTTAGGAAGATAATGCTGGCAGCAACCGTGTGGAGGAGGGAGGGAATAAGGATGCACACAGAAGCCACACTGGTACAAGCCAAGGTACAAGGTTCTTATTTGAGGACTACCAAAGGGGCATTATCAACAGGCAGGGAGAAGCTAAGAATGACAATGGCTGGATGCCTGGCGGATGGTGAGACACCATTAGCCAAAACAAGAAAGGGAGAATGGGAGAGGAGAATCTGAGCATAATGTATTTGAAAGGACTAAAGAACATTCAGGTAGAAAATACCTAAGACAGATGTACGGGAACCACTGAAAGAGTTGCTTAAGACAGAAATACAGATTAGAAGCTCAGAGTCATTCAGTGGTAACTGAAGTCACAGGGCAGTGAAGGTATCTCAGGTAGAAGATGTGGAGGACTGAGGTTTGAGTCAGTGTTCGTCTCTGATGGCTGTCCTTTCTGCCTTGAATTACTGTATGCAGGCACTACAGCAGACCTGTGGATAGGATGGCATTTAATCAGCACAAAACTCCTCTAGAGCATGTGCTGAGTATTTACAGAACACCTCCTACGAGCAAGGCAGGGTGGGGAAAATACAGATAAATAAGACAGCCCTCATCATCAGAGAAATCAATTAACATTGTTACATTAAATTATAATTTGTATCATTAAAAAAATCCATTGCAAAAAATCAGATTAATAAAAAACAAAATATAAATACCATTCAAGATCCTTGCTCTACATAGCCAGAGCAGAACAAGTTGTCTTAAATGAAACAAAAATAAAACCTCTGTCTTCCCCACTCTTACCAGTACTACTATTAGTTACAGGATGCGTACAGGTGCTAGGCTCTTTACAGACCACTCCATTCCAACCTCAGAAAAACCCTATTCATGGGACTATTGCCTTCAATCCTCACAAATGCTCTAAGGCAGTCCCTAATATTATCTCCTATCACTAAAAAGGCTTAGAGAATGGTTAACACTGCTAGCAAGGAGGAAAGTTGGGATTGCCAGTGAAGTTCCTTCAGATCTAGTCCACAATTCTGTGCTTGTGACCATTACAACACTATACTGCCAGTCATCATCAGAGAGTTTCACAGTATTTCCCCCATTTCAGGTTTCATAAAGAGAAAATTATTGTTCCACTGCCTGTGGTGAGGAGACCAAGAAGAACAAGATAGAAGAGGAACAGACTGAATTTAGAGGAACCCTGTGATCATCTGGAAATAAAAGAAAGCAGTCCGATGAGGTCTACAATGATTGTGGTGATTGCTGCTGATTCAAATCTTGCCAAAGGAGTATGAGGAATAGCTTCTCTTCTTGGTTTGCTATAAACCTGGTTTCTAGACACTCACAGTGTGAATATTTTATAGGCCTTAAAATCCAACAGTATGAATTATTCAGAGATGTAAGTACTTCTGGAAAAGACGTTTTATATACTTTATCTCAGGGAAGGCTTATTTGCCTTCTGACCTATAAATCACATATAACAAGAATAAAATGTAGTAAGTACAACCAACTGTGGTGAAAGACTTAAATCTAAAACCAAAGTAAAGGACAGGGAGCATAGATTTTTTTCAAGAGACTTTAATTTTATAACTATATAATCTCCCCCAGTAATATCCTTGTTAACAACTTTTAATTATTCAAAATGTGGGTTATTGGCAAATCCTCCCCTCCACTACTTCTCTATACAGTTGATTTGCAGACTGAAATAGCCAATCCTAGATCCATACATCCAATTACCTGCAAGACATCCCCTGGCTGTCTCAAAGTCACCTCAAAAATCAACATATCGGGGGCACCTGGGTGGCTCAGATGGTTAAGCGTCTGCCTTCGGCTCAGGTCATGATCCCAGGGTCCTGGGATTGAGTCCCGCATCGGGCTCCCTGCTCAGCGGGGAGCCTGCTTCTCCCTCTGTTTCTCTCTCTCTCTCTCTGTCTCTCATGAATAAATAAATAAAAAAAAAATCTTTAAAAAAAAAATCAACATATCGGGACCTGAGTTCATGATCTCCTCCTCCAAACCTGATCCCCTTCTGGGATTCCCTACAATGAATGAATCATCACTCATCCAGCTTTACGAGCTAGAAACCCAGGTGTCATCCCTGCTTTTTCTTTCTTCCCTCTCACATCCAATGCATCACCTGAGTATGCCTCCTAAGTTTGCTCCACCTCCACCACCTGACCCGAGTACTGTCCAACTACCACCGCCTCCCAACTGATATAGCCACATCCACTCCTGCCCCCATCAATATGTCCTCCATACTGCAGCTGGAATGACATTTGTTAAAAAGGCACAAATCTGGTATTTCCCTCCTGCTTAAAACTTTAAAAATTTCCCTCTCATTTAAGATAAAGACAAAAGTCTATAGTACAGCCCAGTCCTTACTGGTCCCAGCTTCCTCTTATAACACTGTCTCTTTCCTACAGGTATCCTGGTTTCTCTTTAGTACCTCATACTTGCTCATCACCTCATCTGGAACCTGCACACCTCTGTGTGATACCTCTCCATTCCTAGCTCACTTCGTTAACGTCTACTCCACTACAGAGGTCAGCTTAGCTATCACTTTTTCACTCAGCTTTCCCTTCCTCATTAAATGTTTATTTACAATGCCTATTACATACCAGGTACTGGACACATAATATACATCAATGAACAGATAAAAAGCACTATCTGTATGGAGCTTGGTGGGGGGAGGGGACAATAAACATAATTTTTAAAGTAAATGATATACCATGTTAGAAAGTAATTAAGTGTCATGGGGGGAAAAAAACAAGCAGAGTAAGGAACAATAGGAGTGCAGGAGATAGTGGGGCCAGCTGAAATGTCAAATTGGTGGTCAAGAGAGGCCCCATTAAGTAGGTACTAGCTGAGCGAAGACTTAAAGGTAGGGAGAGAGTTGGCCTTCTGGATATTTGTCAGAGAGAGCAACAGCAGGGTGAAGCCCCGAAGGCAGTGTCTGGGTATTACCCAGTGTGGCCGAAGCAGAGTGAGTAAGAGGGGAAAGTAGGAGAAAACAAGATCAGAGAGGTAACAGGGGCAAGGAAGGATACTTACAGAGCCTCGGAGGCCACTGTGAGAACTCTGGCTTTTACTGATTGAAATAGAGAGCCATAAGAGAGTGCTTCGCAGAGTGACGTACATTTAAAAGGATCCCTTAGGCTTCTGTGGAAGAACAGACTGTAAGGGCTAAGAATGGAAAGAGAGAGACCAGTTCATAGGCTACTGAAATATCCAAGTGAGAGATGATACTGACTTTCCTGACTTCCTAATTCCCCTAGTATTGCATTATTAATCTCATTATTTGATAAACATCTACCTCCCCTGTAGAGGGTAAGCTCCATGAAGGACAGTCTAAGTCCATTTCACTCACTGTGGCATTCCCAGAGCCTAGAACAGTGCCTGATGCACACTAGGCTAGGCACTCAAATACTTGCTGAATGACTGACTCTATATAGCTTTCAAAATGTGAAATGCGTACATGTTTCATTATCCTGTCATAAAATGAGAGAGTCAACTTTATACCTAGGTTTATTGAAACTGATAATCTGGGGGCACCTGGGTGGCTCAGTCAGTTAAGTGTCTGCCTTCAGCTCAGGTCATGATTCCAGGGTCCTGGAATTGAGCCCCACATCAGGCTCCCTGCTCAGCGGGGAGCCTGCTTCTCCCTCTCCCTCTGCCTGTTTCTCCCCCTGCTTGTGGCTCTCTCTCTCCCCCTGTCAAATAAATAAGTAAAATCTTAAGGAAGAAAAAAAAGAAATGAAACTGATAATCTGTAAAAGCTGGTAATAAAAAACGTCATTTGGGTGAGGAAAATAAGTTCTGCTGTGACAGTATATTCAAACATATTATTTCTTAAAATCATCTTCCTTGCCTTCCCAAGTCCGTATTCTTTTTTTTCTTCTAAAGATTTTATTTATTTAGTTGAGAGAGAGAGAGAGCTAGAGAGCACGAGAGGGAAAAGGGTCAGAGGGAGAAGCAGACTCCCCGCTGAGCAGGGAGCCCGATGTGGGACTCGATTCCGGGACTCCAGGCTCATGACCTGAGCCAAAGGCAGTCACCCAACCAACTGAGCCACCCAGGCGCCCCCCAAGTCCATATTCTGCCAGAATTTTCTCTCTAAAACTCAGACTGGATTGTGCCGTTCACTCACAAACTTCCAACAGCTAGTGAGATAAATTCCAAAATGTACAGGCTACTTGAAATCTTTCTCTAACACAGCCTTCTTATCTCCTGCTATCTTGACACTATACCTAAAGCCACAAAGAAACGGAAGGGGGAAGGCAGTCAATACTTGTTAAATACCTACTGTGGGGCAAGCTGCTAAACTGTATAGAGCTATATTTATATTTCATATGTTTATATATATTATATATCTAATTTAGACAAATATATTCAGATATTTCACATATCTTATATATATATGTATTACTATATTAGATACCTAATGTATAATATGGTCATATACACTATATATCTGATATAATAATACATCTATATTAGATATATGAATTTAATATATACCTATATTAAACACACACACACACCCTTGGAATGCCCCTTTCATCTATTGTCTACAGGCAAACTTCCAATTCAACCTTCAGGACACACATCAAACATTTCCCTCTCTAGCGGAATTAGCATAAATGCTTTCATGAGTTTTTGTTTTGCTTTAATAATAGCACATCATGTTGCAGAGCAATTACTTTGTGTGTATGCTTAACAAATGGTATTCAAATAATGTCTAAAAAAAGGGAAAAAAGAACACTAGGAGCCCTGCTTCCAGTGACACTGGCCCATGAGACAGGTGGACTAAATCAGTGGTTCCCAAACACAGGTCTGTGGAGCAGTGCCAAGATAACCTCATAGTAACTTGGGAGTTAAAAAAAAAAAAAAAAAGTAATTGGAACCCCTCCCCCAAAGATCATAAAGTAAAGACTAATGCCAAGTTACCTATTTTTTAAAACTTCCCAGGTTAAAAAAAAAACAAACCACCAAACTTCCCACGTAAACCATAGGAATCACTACACCAAATTCACTCAAGGTTCCCTTCCACTGCTAAGATTCTAAGCAGCACCATCTAGACTGTAATGAAACAGTCTCCAAGAGCAATATGAGCCAGAAACTTCACAGGATTTCAACTACGTCAAATCCATTAATAATTAATTTCAACTATGTCAAAACATACAATTAACAAACTAAGTGAAATGTACAAACCTTCACTGATTCTAATTTCAAAAAAAATTTTTTTAAGGCAGTCTGGGCCACATGGGGAAATTCGAATACAGGTCAGACATTAAAAGACATTACAGAATTATTTTCTTGGGTGTGATAAAAGAGAATGATCTTGTTTTTAGGAGACAAATGCTTACCTATTTAGGGGTTAAGTGTCAATGTCAGCAACATACTATCACATGATTAAGCAAAGGAAAAAAATAAAGCAAATAGGGCAAAATGTTAAAATGTTGAATGCACTGTTTAACTTTGCTATGTGTTTACAATATTCTGTAATAAAAAAGTTGAAAAAAAAAACAGGAAGGCTTACTATCATGAATTGCAACCTAAACTCAGATTAACAGCTGCATAATACAAGAGCTGCTCCAGCCATAGCAATATTCCACTCACTCTCCGAGACCATGTTTACCCAGGCTCTCCAGCAGAGCCCTACTGAGGCACCTTTACATCCTCTGGATTGCTCAGTAAATGCCCTCCCCCCCAGGTCAGAGAAACTGGCTCCAGGGTCACAGCTCCCAACCCACACAGATGAAAGGTAATCCTGTTTGCAAGCACTGCTGGGAAAGCAAAGGTATTTAAATGAGTTCAGAAAAGATCTATAGTAAGAATATTCCTAAAAGGCTCAAAGGACACGGACACCTTGAAGTACCAATTACCATCTTCCAGCATTACCCATACAGAGGCAGCAAAAAGGACGGGCTTTGAGGGCACTTGGCTAACTCAGGTGGTAAAGCAGGCAACTCTGGATCTCAGGGTTGTGAGTTCAAGCCCTATACTGAGCACAGAGCTAAGAAAAAAGAAAGAAAAGAAAAGAAGAAAAGAAAAGAAAAGAAAAGAAAAGAAAAGAAAAGAAAAGAAAAAAGAAAAGAAAAGAAAGAAAAGAAAAGAGAGAAAGAAAGAAAGAGAAAGAAAGAAAGAGAGAAAGAAAGAGGAAAAGAAAGAGAGAGAGAAAGAAAGGGAGAAAGAAAGAGAGAGAGAGAAAGAAAGAAAGAGAAAGAGAGAGAGAGAAAGAAAGAAAAAAAGAAAGAACGAACGAAAGAAAAAGAATGAAAGAAAGAACGAAAGAGAGAGAAAGAAAGAGAGAGAAAGAAAGAGAGAAAGAGAGAGAGAGAGAAAGAGAGAAAGAGAGAAAGAAAGAGAGAGAGAAAGTGAGAAAGAAAGAAAGAAAGGAGAAAAGAAAAGAAAAGAAAAAAGAAAAAAAGAAAAGTACAGGCTTTGGAAGCAAGCACTGGCTTGGGCCCATTCCCACATCCAGCCTCTTCCCAGCTGTG